TTTGTTCCTGGAAACCAGAATGTGGGGGTGTTCTGTCTTTAACCCTGTTATAGGAAGCCCAGAGTTTGAAGAAGAGCAATTGATGATTGAGTCATTTATCTTTGATGCAATCCTGTTTATTTACAAAGTCCTGGTTTCTGTATCTGTAAGTAGAATCAAACAGGCGATAATTCCCTTGCTTGCAATTCCTTGTCTCTTTCAGTCAACTCTTGACTCAATAGCTTCCGTAAGGTTTATCTCAAAGTCATGCTGTTGATGCTTTTGTGGCTCTTTTTGATGCTTCCTTTTGGCTTTTGATTGGAGATTCTCTTGCAAACATCCAAAACAACCATTCTGCTACCAATCAAGGTCCTAACCGTCTAGGCTCCAGGGCTTATTTTCATTCCAGACTTCCCATATGTTTATGCTTTGGTTGTTCTTCATTGTTTTGATTATTTTGCTCTATAAATGAGCTTAATGTTTATTTGTATTTGGTACAAATGAAAAACAGTTCTTTTACTCAATGATTTCAGCAAGTTTTGGTCAATCCCACTGTGATGCTTTCTTACAGCTGTATGGATGAAGGCTACTGAGGTGCATATGCACACTGCAGGAACAGGTGGGCAGCAGCTGTATGGCGTTTAGGGTGAATTCTTGGGTGAACATAACTGAACTTCTCAAGTGGCCCTCTAATTACTGGTTGACCCTTCATCTGTTTCCAGAAGTGTTGATGGTGAGATCTGTTTGGAGAACATTATATTTCTTAAATGAAAAATTTAGAGGTTTTTTTTTTTGGGTTGTTTTGTTTTTTTTTTTTTTCCCTGTAAATCATTCATTCTCTGGAGGAGCAAAAAGACTTCTATTTTTTTGATGTTTTTATTAAAAGTTATTAATTTAGGAAAACTTCAGGATTCTTTCTTCACTTTTCTTTGATTTTGAATAGGTGTGGAAAAGAGAAATAAAGTGGATTTTATTTAATGACAAATTTATGCAAAAATAACTTTGGAAAAAAATTTCACTTCTAATTGAAGACATTGCATCAGACCACTGTTCTTGTCTCTTAGGACAACACTGAAGTCAAACTCCAAATTCCTTTCCAACAAATATGTGTATTTTACTCCTAGCAAACTGCTAATATCTGAATTCTAAAAAATGCTTATGCAAGAAGTGGAGTGAGACATGAGGCATGGCATAGTTCAGTGCTGCTCTTTCCCTATGGAATATGGCCATTGTGTAACTGCATCAGCCTCTCACACGGGTAACTAGAGACTAGGTCTCAGTATCTGTAGTATAGATTTGGAGATGCTGCATGGTGGATAATAACTACCGTTTTTATAGATGCTAGTTTCTTCCTAACTAAAGGGAAAGGTTTAATGTTCTAGGTGTAATATTTAGCTGAGTAAATTTAGTCTTTAACCTGTGCTCTAATACCTGATTGATCTCACCTTGTGGACCCAGAGTCCCTGGAGTTAGAAATGACTAATCCATTGAGTTACTGTGTTGGTGCTATAATAATAGTAAAAGTGAGATATATAATTGGCACAGGTGCTAGGGGTGCCAAGATGTTCAGGGTTGAGACCAGGATGCTGTTTTCAGCTTTTTCACAAACTCCAAGCATGAAGCAGAGGACAGAAATGGCTGTGACCCAGTGTCAGCAGCCAGAGACCTGAAAGTGCAAGTTTGAGAGGTAAAAGTGTGGGGTTATAAATTCCTGGCTTCCTGTGAGTTGTCCATTTCCTCACCACCTTCTCCAGCTTTCATGCTTGCCAGAAGGGAACATTACTTATCAAGAATACCCCTGGAAATCATCCTGGTTTTCTGTGTTTCTGAGTGAAGAGCAGAGGGGCTCAAACCAGGGTAACTGGAGCTTTTGGGCTCAATGGAGAACCACAGCAAGCTCTGCCTTACTCATGCCAGCACAAAACGCCACATTGCACAGAATACAGCATCTAATTCCATCAAATTCTTGTTCGACACAGGAAAACAGAGCGTGATTAAAGAAATTGTGTCTTAACTGACTGCTCCATATTGTCATGCCAGAAACAATTAGCTTAACTAGAAAGTTAATTTAATTGCAAATGTGGATGGGCAAACCGTGCCAGCCACTTCATTATCATTATTCTATGTTATTCTAATGCTTAGCGCTGTTTAATACGTTCTTATGGTATATGGTGGTGTAATTAAAAGATTGTCTCTGCAGAGGTTAAGGTTGCTGCTGAAAATAACCTCCAGTCTCAGTTTTACATGTCTTTATTTGTGAGGTTTCAATACATGCTTTAAAAAAATTTTAATAGAATTTTCTGGCTTGTTTTTTACTTCTATGTATGAAAAAGAACAAAAGCATAAGGACTGCCAGAGACATATGTAGCAGCAAGAATTGACCACAGACATTTTGTAGTAAAAATATTCTGTTTTTCTAAAGGAAGAGATATTTTTCTCTGTTCATTTTTTTCATGCATTTTGAGATATCACATTTAATTTCTGTTATTTTTACAAACAGCAAAAAAATTGCCACAAAAGACTGAACACAAGAGTAAACATTCAAATCTGGTGAATAAAATGAGAACAAATAATTTCTCTGCTTCCTGGCACAGAAACACATAGGAATGGACTCTTGTAATGGTCACTTTTTAGGAATAATTTCCTTTGGGGAGAAGAAACATGTGAGGAAAAAATATAAAATTTGATTGGAAAATGTGCAAATTGTGATTGTTTGGGGTCTTTTTTTCCATCATGAATTTCCTCCCCAGTTAAAATGACTGACATTACTACTAATTCAGCCACATTTTATCCATGGACAAAATAGTTATTACTATTATTTTACCCTACCATATTTAATTTTACTTTACTGTACCCCATAATATCTTGGTACCTGGATTTTCCTGCTAGTTTTAGATTTTTATTACATTTGAAATTTGCTTGCAATAAATACATTGCACTGGCAGAATTGTTGCTGTACTCTTTGAATAGCTAGTTGAATCAAAGATCCATCCTTGTCCTTCCTTGGACTGGTAATAATTTTCACATACGTCTGCTTTTTAAGAAGTATTTTGTAAAGAAAAATACATGCCTGCTACATCAGGTTTCATCATGATGGTTCTAATGCATAATATTGAAGAATTTATATGTTTTTTATATTCCTCATTAAACAAAGAGAAGGAAAAAAAACCCCACAACCTCAAACCCCTATAAAAATTTGGATCAAATTTTGAAATTTGAATTTGAATTTGACCCACCCTTTGGCAGACTCCCTTGTCTGAAAAACTCAGCTTAAGAAAGGGAGTGTTACCAAGTTTCAGTGATGGAAAAAATAATAATAAAACGATACTTGCTTTTGCAAAATTACCTTTATTTTTTTTCTTCATACTGCTGTTACAAAACACATCTTAGGCCACCCACTTCAGAGCATCAACTGATATTTGCTGTGAAGCTGCCCTGTGTTTTCTAGGGTTTTGGTGATAGTTGTTTCTTACGGGGCACTAAGCCTTTGCTTGCTGCAGTGTATGGTATTAGCTGACAGAATATCTTGGACTAAACAGGCCACTCATCTGATCCAAGATGTCATTTCTCACGTTCCCATAGAAACATAGATTAATCAGTCATTCCTGATGCATTTCTTGTACAATATTGTCATTTTGATGCTCTTTTGCTGCTAGTTTTGAAGGCAGCTTCAGATTCATTTGAGGAAATCAAGCCAACTTTGTGCTGCTTTTTAGCAGCAGGTACTTTGCCTGTAATGAGGAAAATCTCATTTTGCAGAATTCTTGCAAGGTAAAGAAAACATAGCTTCATATCCTTAATGAGAGCATTCTTATTCAAGAGCGCTTGACTGTAAAGAGTGCTATCCACAATGGTTAGTGTGGAGAGGAAACCTTAAGTAGAACATGCTATTGTGGCCTTTGAGCGGTTCCCATCTCCTCTATTCAGAAAGCAGAGTTAACTGAGGATAGCAAGAACAAACTGTACATGCGCTTGAGAAAAAGAACTTGACTTGGCAAGTTGGCATAAGTGTAACACAATATATTACCACTTTCTGCTGGGCTTATTCTCTTACTGTCATTGACCAGATCTGTTCAACGGCTGCCATTTTCGGTTGCAAGTAGAAGAAATCTCAGTTCCACCCCCCGATACCTCTTTTACTTTCCAAGAAAGTCAGTTTATGTAATCGATACCAGGTCTGTCTAGGAAGCTGTTCTGAAATTTAGGGGGGGTGGTGCAGGGGGAAGGGTGAAGGCTGAAGGGTGAAGAAGAAGCAAACATTAGACCTGACAAAGCTTGAAATATAAAACAAAAAAGCATCTGCGAGGCATAATAAAACAAAGTGTATATACGTGTTGTTCTCACAGAGTATTTGGCTGAGCCCAGGCAACGGGAAAGCATGCATAGCTAACACTCCTGACTGTGTGAAACCCTTTGTATACTCCAGAGTCTCTGCAAGAGACCTTGATTACAGAGTTTGGCATGATACCCAATACATTTTTTGGAATGGTTTCTTGTCCATCACTGACACTCGTAATGAGAAATTTATACACCATCCAAAGCGGATAAATTAATTTCAAACACTTTTGACTTCGGTCAACAATGGCTATTGGCAGTGCCTATTATTTAACTTTTATTAACAAAAAAAAAAAAAGAAAGAAAAAAAAGAGGAAAAATTGTTCTTCTTCATGGTGATAGCATGGTAAAGACCCTGAGTATAGCAGAGATAGAATCTTGGCAAGCACATATATAGGTCAGGATGGAATATTTCACTTTTCAATGTAAATGCAAGTAATTTTCTTCAGTATGAACAGTTTAATAAATTCCCAGGATGGATTTCATTAAGAAATTTGCATATTGGCTAGTGTAAAATTTTCTGAAAATCAGCTGGCAAAAATAATTTGGTTTTACTTGTACTTTCCCAATCCAGTTAACAGTCAAGGAATGAAGTATAAATTATCTATCCCTTTGAGAACTCCATTTAAAACTCAGATGCTCAAGTTAGCCTTTTAAAGATGATAATTGTGCATATTCTCATGCAGATATGCACACCAGAAATGGGGAAAAGCATTAAAACACACCTACACACAAAAACCTGTGGATTGGAAGCAAACAGGAAAATTGCTGCATCTTCTTGGGAGATACTGAAATTATGGGGACATATAGATAAATTACTAGTAAGTTCCCATTATATGCAGCCTGAATTAGATAGGTTACTATGTTCTCTAATTCAATGTTAGTTCTGGGGTTTTGGTTGATCTTTGACTTTTTCTCTGTGTTTTATTTTGTACATGCAAGGCATAAGGATTTATTGAAGACAAAACCCTATTTATATACCTGAGTTATCCAAATGCAAGAAATTCTGCCAGCTTTTTAAATATAAATAGAGAGCGTTGTGTAAATAAATTATCTAGGTTTTCAGAGCTACCTGATAACGGAAATACACAACTCTAATAATACTAAAAGGTGAAAAATAAAAATAGGATATGTATTTTAAGGAAATATAAAACATTGCAAGTAATCAGTGGGGAGTGCGGACACAGGCAGTAGTGCACAGGCCTTTTTATTTTGTTGTATTTTAAATTAGCTTCTTTGTGCAGGAACCGGTTATGGTTTTCATTTATTTTTGTACTTTAAATTTAAGCTGTGTTGCAATAGGAATGACAGAAATGGTATATGTGATTTTTCTGAAAACTACTTTGGAGACTTTTTCCTAAAAAGGCAAATTTCCCTTTTATATTCCCTTCTTACCTACCTGCTTCCTTTGTGCAAGTAGGATTGTCAGAGGAAGGTAATAGTTGCTGTGTGCTTCGGTGGTTCGGAGGTTGGAAGGATGCTTCATGCAGCTGATACGCTGGCTGCACTGTGCATAGTGACAACTGAAATACGGATCCTGGGATGCTGTGCTGGTAAGTCCTGATGGCATCGCATGGACACCCATTATTAGGGAAGAACCAGAGCAGGTTTTCAGATGAGCTCAGACTAGATGATCTAATGGTCCCATCTGGCCTTAAAATCTGTGAGTCTATGAAAGACAGTCCTGCAGTTATAAGCATTTTAGAACTGTCAATTCCAGATTTACTTCAATGTAAGAGGCAATTGCTTCCATGCTGAAATGCTTGGTTATGTACTATGTACATGGTGTCATAAATGTTCTATAAAATAGAGAGGTGCAGTGTAAGCAAAACACAGAGCAGCTTGGCATAATAAGGAGAGGTGATGTTAATATGTAGAAGATGGGTGTTTGTAAGAGATTTGAAAAAGGAGTAGAGTGCATTTGGAGGAGAACAACAAAGAATGCACTTCCCCAAATATAAAAGAGACTAAAGCTCCAGTGCCAAAGGAGGAGAGAAAGAAGCAGGAAGAGAGAAAGGGGTAGTGAGTGACAGCAAGAAATTAGAAAGGACTAAGAGCAGCAGACAGAGAAGTTGCAGGATGCAAGGGATGAACACAACTTATTTATTCACTCCCTTTCTAGAACTGTGCTTGTATGGCTGTCATTCAGTGTCTCAGCTGCTATGCCTTCTTTAACTTCCTTGCTAAAATATACTGAGGGAGAGCAATGGGAGGGAGAGAAGAGGTGGGAGATAAGGGAAGTGTATTTTTTGGTCCCTTTGCTTGCTAATGGAGCTGGATGTGCATACCTGGGTGCTGGAAGAGATATTGGAGGTATAGGTCCTGGGCCTGAGAGGTGCCCTGGCAAGTACCTGGCAGTTCATCAGAAGGCGGCAAGCTGCTGGGTGGGAAGAGTGGGGCTGCAGGAGCTTTTCACCCTGAGCCCTAGCACCCTTGGAGAGGGGTGCTTCAGGCACAAATATATTGCAGTCATGTGTGGTGGTATTAGAGACATTCTTATGTTGGGTTTTTTGGGGGGTTGGAGCTCTTTTAGGTTTGTTTGTTGGGTATTTCTGTATGTGCTTTTTTACATTTGAGGTGAATATTCAACTCTTCTCCTGGCTCCTGGGGATCTCAGATTTATTTTTTTTTTTTCAGGTAATGTGGATTAATGTTAAACATGCTCAAGGGCAGCGTGAGAAGAGAAGGCCTCTGCCCTGGTGCAAATGTTTGCAGCTGAGCCCTTTCCTCAAAGTATTTGCCCAAACAGCTCATCAGACCTCTGTGCAAGTGCAACAAGTACATGGTGGAAGTAGATACGCTTACAGGCAGTGTATATGAAAAGTATTCTCAGGATAAAAAAAAATTATTTGTTGACACAGGAATTTCTCTTTATTATATTGACAATTTCAGTGAACATTTCCTGTAGGTTTCTGAGGTTCAGGATGGCGTTTTCTGAGAGAATGGGGGTATTTCTTGGGTTGTCAGCAGCTTTCACCTGAGATGCTGGTTTAAGTCAGTATTCCTCTAAACTTACAAAATCTTAAGCCTTATTCCTTGAGCTAATCAAAGAAATGTGATAATTACTTGGCTGTTATCTGTGACATGGTATCTTGATTTTTTCCTACCAAAACAGTGGAATGACCAGATTTTCAAATATTTGTGCTGTTTATTTTGCAAAACAGTCGTTTTCTCACCAACGCCCAATTCACATCTTTCTGGTTAGTTCAAGTAACAAGGAAAGGGGCTCTGTAAGGTGTGGTATGGCAAGGATTGGATTGCAATTTTATTAAAGTTTTCCCCAGAGTCAAGGAAGGAGGAAGTTGATTATCTTGTAATTGGTCTCTCTCTGGGGTGATGCACTTGTTAAATCCTTATATGTGATGGGACTATCTAGTTACACTGAACAGATTACCTGCTGATTGCTACTTCTGGGATTTACAGATAATGCTGAATGCCAAAATCTTTCTGAACTGTGAGTGGAAGAATTAATTCCCACTGTCTTCATTTACTTTCTAATGACAGCTAATACTCTATCTAGGTTTCATTGTTTCCAAGCATAGATACTACAAAATCTCTTTTGAACAAAGCAGATAGGATTTGCTGGCATTTCTGCCTGTTGCTTTGATGTGATAAGGAATTGTTTGCTTCCTAGATGAATATCCTTGACTTGCTGTTCACTCTTAATGAAGCAGCCAGGCTTCACCCTCTGAGGCACTTTCTCTTCTGTGTTTGGAGATGGGTGTTACCTCTAAGGTCAGAATTGGGTACAAATTTCTGTGGTATTTCAGGAGGTGCTTATCCAGGGATTTTATCTTGGACTTTTTTGCTACCTAGCTGGTAAAGTACTTTTTTTGTTTCTGTTGGGATGTTAAACTTCCCCTGTGATATTTCGCACACTTTTTGTTTTATTTTCAGTCTAAAATAACCACATGTAATAGAAAGAAGGGCTAGGCACATTCAGACCTGATGTAAGCAGTTGAGAGCAATTATTTCCAGGAGAGTGGTGGCAGAACTGAAACTGGCCCAAAAAAAATCTCTTATGAGCTGGCTCCCTGGCATGTCTCCTCCCCTGGCCAAAATACTGTAATTCCTATGGCCGGTTTGCTGTGCACCAAGGTGCTCCCCACTTACAGGGCTTTGGTAGTAAGCAGCAAGTGGTGGGGATGAATGGGGCTAGGGGATGGGATGGGAGAGGAGGGGAAGAGGGGGCTGATGTATTCCTACCACAGGGAAGCAAAGCAGAACACACCGAGTATCATTGCATAACAGATGATACATTGTACAGCTTGTACCCTCTCCTAAAGAGCAGAGGTGGGCACGCCAGGGAAGGCTTGAGCCTGGCTCCCAGTAAGCACCTGGCTCTGGCCTGCATCCATGGCTTGCAAATAAAGACGGGTTAAGGAAGAGGGAAGGGGAATACACTGGCATCACCGTACTCCACGTTACTCACAGTACCAAGATCGTTGTGAAGGTGAAACAAATCCTCAGGGTGGCCAAGAGATGGGCTTTACTTGCCTGAGAGACCTGCTCTCCCCAGCATGTCCCAGAATCATCTTTTCCCCAGGTGGAAGGGTGGGGGCTCCCTAACAGCATCTCTGCAAGGAGAGAGGAATCTGCTGCCTTTTTTCTCTTAGGAACCCCAAATATCGTACTGCTTTGCAGCATCGTGTCCAGGCTCTAGCAGCTATTGTGGTATTGCTGCAGGGCAGCAGGGCCATCATGCTGCTCCCGCCCTAAAACTTCAGACCGCAGCTGTCTCCAGCTCAGGGTTTGCAAACATGTAGCTTCTCTTCAGCCTTTAAGCACTTAGCAATGAACAGAAAATGGGTTGGGAAAAAATCCTAACAAGATACAATAAAGAGGGGTGTCTTTTCCCTCTTTGTGGCAGATCGAGCACATTTATCTAAAGTTTTAATTTCTTTTCCTTTCACATCATAGTGAGGATCTTCAGCAGAGAACGGAACAGCCGGGTGATGTATTTTTGGGTTATAACTTGAGAACAAAAGCTCATTAGGACTCAAAGATTTTATATGGATAACACCACCCACGGTTACTTTAGATAGGGTAGAAATGTTTTTATGCTTTAGGGCACAAACTAGCTATTAAATTACTAGGGAACTACAAATATCTACTAGACATATCGATGGGAGTGCAACCAGAACGCAGAGTACTACATAAAATAATTATATACAGCACAGCTAATATTAGATCACACGAAAGTACATGACTGTTCTATGAAAATAATTTGCATCTCTGTATTGGACACTGGGGGAGGGGGCATTGGTTTTGTACAAGGAGATGCTGACCTAATTGTCAAAGGTTCAGAACCCTGCAGCCTCTGCCAACATTTCTTGGTGAGGCTGTGCTGCTGGAACTGATGGAGGAGCTGTTTCCTCAACTAGCAAAAAGTCCTCCCTTTTCTGCGGTTAGCTAGGAAGTAGGGAACCCAGATGAGAATGGATGGATGATCCGTCATGCTGAGAGGATCCACTGAGCAAGCATGTCCCTGACGTGTGAGCCCGAATTGGGGTCGGTGACAAGGACAACTCTGACATCATATGAGTCATGTGAGGAGGGAGGGGTGTTGCTGCCTCCTGACGGAGGGACGCATCTGTTCCACGCTAGCTCGTGAGATGTGAAGAGGTTGCGGTGCTAAGATGCACATAGGGAGAGTGGGAGTGTGCCGCTTAGCAGGGCTTTTTTGAGTTTGGGAATCTCATCGGAGCTGCCTCTCTTCTGCTCTGTGATTCCCACCCCTCAGATGCAGGTGGCTGTTGGACCAGTGCCGGCCCCGCAGAGGGTCAAGAGGGTCAGGCCTTGGCATGGGAGAGTGCTGCGGGAAAGTCAGTGGCAGATTTCCCACGTCTGTGGGACTTCAGAGGTCTGTGTGTTGTTCCTTGGGGGCTTCTGAAGGATAATGGAAGAAAAGCTTAAAGAAGGTGTTGTAGGTTGTGCTTTTATTAATTACAGCGAATGTAGATGCTGTTGGATTAGCTGCCTGATGTTCTCACTAGAAAAGGCGTGCTCTGAGTTGTTCTAACTTTATCAAACTCAGAAGTCAGGGCTCTTGTATAAATGAAGTTTTCTAAGCTGCCATGTCTTTCTCTTTGTGTATCAGTGCTGTCTACTCCATAGGGAAGTGTTTCTCTGAAGGATAAAAGGGAAGTATGTAAACATGTAATTAAGACAATCAAAAGTTATGTACACAAATGGGGTCAGTTCTAGCTGCAGAGCTGTAAATATTTCGTTTCAATATTTCTTTCACTTCTTGCCTCAGCTTTGTTCCACAGTGGCAAAGAGATAGGTCCTATACAAACATGGTGAAACAAAAGCTCTTCCTTCAAGTATTTAAATATATGGCTAAAGGTAGATGCATGGTGTAAATGCATGTACCAGCTTCACTAGTAGTTGCAGTTAGATTTGTATTTGTTTTGTGTTAAGGTTTTTAACTAAGACAAGATGATGGTCAGCATGGGGAGGTCATGAGGGTATGTGTTTGTAAATCTAACAGCAGGAGGATGCTCATAAGCCAACTGTAGCTCAGTGACGGGGGGGGGCAGTTATGTTATGAAAAGGTTAAAAAAGTAAGGTGAAGTGTCGTCATACTGCATGCTTGATACTCCAAAGAAAAGGGAGCTGGTGGGGAAATGCAAAGAGAAAGCTCGCACAGTCCAGAAAGGGACTGAAAAAGGACCATGGCGGATGTTGGTGAACCAAAGCAGAAATAGAGATGTTGCCATGGACTGAAGTGGATATTAAGTAATCTATATACAGAAGGTGGTGATTTGTGTTTCTGCCTAAGAAATGACAAGGTGTAGAGGAAATGAAAAGGATAATACAGATGCTGCTGGGAATTACTGTCATAACTCTGCTATTGTGAATAACTGGTAAAACCTGAAACCTAGAACGCTCATTGCATGCACAATAAATGCTGCTTGGTTTCAAGTGCTTGACTAGGGGCTACTGTAGTCATGTGGGTACAGAATGAAGCAGATTTGTTCATAGAAGGAAAAATCTTACTTCCCCAAGCATGGGGGATGATTCAGGGGTCCTGTGTGCACATTTAGGGAGCAGTCATGCATGTGTCCTGCCCAGGTGGATTCTGCTTTGGTTAGGGCCTGAGGAGTATACTTCAGGGAGCAGAACATCAGAGGGGGAACCTGACTCTAATCAGCTGCATTCCCTGTAGTGTCTGCTTCTACTTTGCACAGACTTTGCCACAGAAAGCTCATACCTAACTATACTTTGTACATTTTATTATTTTAGGATGTCTTTTTTTTTTTTTTTTCTGCCAAATTTTCCTTAGGAGCGTAAGCTGGAAAAGTTTTGGGTAGAGCTGGATATACAAATCCCACAATTTATATCTTACCTAAACCACAAAGTAATTTCATGGACCAAGTGAAAAGACGCATGTGCAAGGCTGGGGCTTTCTTTGAGATGAATTCCAGAGCATAGTGTGACAGCTTCTCACAAAAAAAATGACTCAGTATTGTATAATGGAAGTCTCACTGAACTCCATTATTGAAGCCAGCATGATAACTACTTATACTGCACTAACACCCAGCAGCCCAGCTCATATTGGGACCCTGTTGTTCTTGGCACTTGTCATGCAGGGTGAGAAATAAAAGCTTCTCCTGATACACTGCAGACAGCACAGGATGAGCAAGAGTGCTGCTGAGATGTCCTAGTTCAAAGAGCAAGCCAGTGGGAGTGACAAGGACTTAAACCACACCTGATGACTGGGTATTTTCAATTTGTGTCTCTTAGGTTTTTGTGTTTAAGCTCA